CCGTTTTTTATGATAAAAGTCTAGCTAAAGCTATGTTAAATGACTGATTGCACAGACTGTTGCTGATGATTACAGTGCTGAACAATAACAACAACAATAACAAGAATGAAAACAGTGTTAGATAAAAGATAACAATAAATATTTTCTGATAAACGACGATGCGCTGACATGCTGCGTCACACATTTTAGAGATAGGCTTTCCCTAGCAAAGTATGTTGCAATTCGCATGGGGGACTTTGCCTTTTCATGACCAGCTGTTGACCATCCAAGCAAAATAAGTGACTCCTGAGATTTGCTTAGTCTAGATTATTAGCCCGGGATTTCATTTCCTTACGTCATTTTTAATCCTCCGATTACAACATTAGCTGGAATTCAAACTTGGGATAAAGATCTACTTCTTCCAATAGTTAATTTTGCGCCGGCATTGTTGCTTGCGATCTGATATCATGCCCTTAAAGGCCATTTCTTAGCTGACAACTCCTCAAAACAGATACACATACGGGTGCGCATAAGCCCCATAACACGCCTTGTATTCATAGCGAAGAAAACAAAGTGATATGTCTAGACAAAGATATAACTATGCTACTGCTTCAACACTTTCTGGTACCGTTTCTAGCACCGGTTGGAACTTCATCTTTTTACTGTAAAGTGGCTGATCCGATTTTTGCCAGTTAACAGCGTCGCCCTGCAAAATATTATGTTAAAAAAACAGCTGGATTTATTAGAAAAAAGTGTTATTTTTGACGTTTTATGCGGTGTAGTCAGCGAACGAGAGTGAAGGGAAGAAAGTTCTCGCAACTTTGAAAAGGTACCACAATTGTTAGTACTTCCGACTTTGAATTGAGTACCAAAACGGTCAATCTTTCTGATCCTCAAGTGAAGACCAAAACTACCAGTGTAAACGAAAACAAGCAAAAGAAACTTAAGAGAATAAATTCAATCAGAAAGGTGCAGAGTTTAATCAAAGTGCAATAAAATTCTAATAAAAGAATGAATGGTTAAGGAAGCATAAAATTCAGCAAAGAAACTAGCTGATAAATGCTAATTTCTTTGGAATAAATAGCCAAGCAAGCCAGTGGATCGGGGCCGTTATGCTTGCAGCACTTACAAGTGCCTAGTCAATGGGAGCGCCACTATACACCGGCATTTGTCATGATTTATTAACTGAATAAGCACACGAACTGCACGGAAATTTTGAATCCATGAACTAATTAGTTCAGGAGATTCACTGCCAATTTGCAAGGAGCAGAATGATTTGGAAAACTGATGCATGTTATTTGACCTAACTTACACAGACAACTGAATCCAAAAAAAATATCGGTTTCCAATTTTCTCTATTCGAATTTACACAGCTAGCCATGTTCGGCACCCCTACTCACAGATCCGAAAAACTGGAACCTAATTTCCGAACATATGCATCGCGCCATTCGGAAATTTAATCCGCCAAGAATACTGATCCACTATTTTCTTGGTTCTGAGTTGCTGAATTGGAACGTGGATCATATGACAGGAATTAGAAACAGGGAGATGAGTGGCGAATATGCAACCTAGCAGAGAGACGAGATCCATGTTCTTGGGATTTTTTTATCCCTAGCTTTCATATTTCTGGAATATACAGCACGTTACAAAAAAAAGAAAGGATATGTGCAAAAAAGCATAACAAGAAGCGAGGGTTTAAGCAATTGAATTACTACATTTAAACAAAATTGGTTCAAAATAAAGCAAGTTGCAGGGCATCCTAGTCAGCCAGCAAATTGATAGGGTAAGACGAAAAG